CTAATTCTTCTTCAAATTTAACTATTATTTTTAATATCAAAATGAGTATTTATTTTACTATTTATAATTTAATATATATCACATAAAATTATTATATGACAATTACACTTTTATAATAGAATAGAATTAAAATTATCAAAATACACAAATAATTTAACTAAAATTAATATAAATAAGTATTAATGTAACAATTTTATAGAACGATAGAGCCAATATTATCAAAATAAATAATTAAAATCATATTTAATTACAATTTTAAATCAAAATTATTCTTTTATAACACACATTGTATCATCAATTTTTTTTTTTTTTTTGGAAAAATAACACGTGCATTACATGGGTCAACAACTAATTATAACTAGGGTAAATCACACTGACACCTCCTAAAGTTTGGTCCAATTACAATCTATCCCTTGATGTTCTGAAAATTATATTCCTACCCTTGTGGTTAATAATCTTATTTTAAAAACCCTTTATTTATATAAAAAGCAAGAACTCCTAGTAAAAAAATAGAGGAAATTACATTGAAAAAAAAAAGTAAAGCAAAGGAAAAAAAAAATAGAGGAAATAAAGAGAAACAATAGAAGAGAGAGTGTATGAGTCCAATATTTTCATTCCGTCTAAATAATTATAATGACAATGGAATTAGTGTAATTTCTCAAACGTCAGAAGTGATATGCATTAAATCAAAATCTCAAAAAATGTAAGTGTAATTTACCCTTATAACTAAAAAAAACACATATTGATTTGATTTGATTTGATTCTTTTGAGTTTTAATTCATGAATAAAATCATAATTAATAATTTTTATTTTTTAGAATTAAAATCAAATAATTCCTTTAAAAGTTTAAGGATAATTTACAAATACACCTCCTAAAATTTTCTTAAAATACGAATTGTCTCTTGTGGCTTGAAAAATTACAAATATCCCATTGTTATAGTTTTTATTTGACAAAATTAACTGAAAAAATAATTTTATGGCTCATCTCATATACAATAATAAAATTATCTGAATTATTAATTGATATAAAATTTTCATATAATTAAAAACTGTTAATTGACTTTATGATTTATTAATAAAATGGACCAATTATTATGAAATTCGAAACGTCAATAAGCATGATGTAATTTTCAAAATCACAAAGAATAATTTATATTTTAAGCAAATCTTATACAATATATTTGTAATTTACTCACATTTTAAAAATTAATTTGTATAATTTGAACCAATTTGAATGAGGGATTATTTGAGGTACACTAAAGTAGCATCCTTTTTATTCTTTTATCTTTTTTTAATCAAATTATCTTTTTATTTTTTTACACATTTTTTTTTATATAAAATAAAAAAAATATAAACTTATTTATATTATGCAAAACCACTCTCAATTTGTAAGTTTGATTTAAAAAATAAAAATAAAAATAAAAATTTGAAAAATTTTAGGAGTTCGTTTGGGAAGTGTTTTGGCTTATTGATTATTTTAGTTTGAGATTAAAAAGTTTCGTTTATGATAAGTTTTTTGGCTTTTTTTATGAAAGAAATGATATAATGATTATAGATTATATGTGTTATTTTATTTTATTAATTTAAAAAATCTATTTTATATTTTTTTGATTAAAAAAACCCCAAATCTAACTCAACCAACTCAAGTTGCCCAACGAAGGCTAATAATGGGAGAAGGGTGGGATTTGGCATTTTGCTACGCAAGCAAGTTGGTGGAGTGAAGCAAACTAATGCACCCCCAAAAAAAAAAAGTTGGCGGAGTGAAGCAAACTAACTGGCCACGTGGCACTACTTTTCAGCTTGACTTGGGCCCACCATTACGTTGTGGAATCAAGATGGGCATGACATAATCGGGGGGTCTGTGTATGTGTGCCCTAAAAGGCCTAAAGACAGCAAGATGGGTTTGTGTAAATTCAAATGGGCTAATAGTAGCGCAGCTCTAATGGCCCAAGGTTTAGGTGGCCCTGTTACAATGACAAAGAATGGGCCACAATTTTGCAAAGAAAATCAACCCTAAATACTAAAGCAAAGCCCAGCCCATCAATTCGTGTTTTGTGGGTGTTTGTGTCTGTATTTTATATTATTATTATTATTATTATTATTATTATTATTTGTTGTTGTTGTTGCTGATAGCTTGGGCTAGTTTGGTCCTATGGACCACACTTTTTACCATATGGGCCACAATTTTGCAAAGAAAATCAACCCTAAATACTAAGGCAAAGCCCAGCCCATCAATTCGTGTTTTGTGGGTGTCTGTGTCTGTATTTTATATTATTATTATTATTATTATTATTATTATTATTTGTTGTTGTTGTTGCTGATAGCTTGGGCTAGTTTGGTCCTATGGACCACACTTTTTACCATATTTCAACTTTTAATGATAAATTTATTGCATTGAAAATATTTTTAAATAAAATACAATTCAATTATTTACAAAAATGAACTAAAAATAAACTAACAAAAATTAAATACAAACTAGCAACAAAGATCAAAACACAAACAAAAATAAAAAATATATAAATCATTTATTACTTTAATAAATTTTCTTAATAACATTACTAGTACTAAATAAGCATTCTACGAACAAAACATTTATATAAAAAGTTTCAAAATAATTTCATTATCAAAACAGAAGACAAATACATAAAAAAAATACTCATAATTTATGAGTAAATACACCTGATCCATATAACTCGATGATAATTATTATTTTTTTGTTTTTTTATATGGGGATATTATTATTTTTGTTGGGAGTATTTTTCTTCTATTTTAAAGGCGTTATTAGAAAGCATGAAATATCATATGAATTAAGAAGATTATGTGACCGTGTACTCATCTAATAAGATCTTTTTATTTCTCTATCATTTCTTTATTTGGAAGGTTATATAATTCTTTAAATTCCTACTAATATAAAATTTTCGAAACACCGTATAATTACTCCTTAGAGACATTCTTGCTAAGGTTTCATTTGAGAGGTTGGTTGACTTTTTAACATTTTAATTTTTCGATTTAGGACTAAAATGTTTCACTTGTGATGGCTTTTTAATTTTTGTAAGAGAAAAAATAAAATAATTATAATTATGATGTAATGTTTTATTTTATTAATTTTTTATTTTTTTTATTTGACTAAAATAATAATAAAAAATCCATGCCAAAATAGCCTAATTTGAATGTCCTTTCCAAAAAGCCTATATGCGTAGGCCACATTCTTTCACGAATTCAATGAGAAAGGAAAGCGACGTGTCCTTTTGGCGCTAATTAGGACCCCAGCTTCAGCTTCCCCTCCCCAATTATTTAGGTATGTGTTTTGAATTATGAGACAAACTTGGGAATAAAGCACAATTCTTAATTGGTGAAACATTATTATATTTGCACATCTTTCAATCCCAACATCCCAATAATATAAACTATTCCGACCAAATTATTGTTGCTTCAACCCAAACCCTCGTGACACCAAAATGACAGCCTGGCCAGGGTTAATGTTAGGGATGTTGAGGTAACGTTGGGTTTTATTTTTAAAATTTTATTTTATTTTCAAATTATGATTTTAATTAAAATTTATAATTAAATAAAATTTTAAAATATGATTCAAAATAAATTTTAAAACTCCTTTCTTACCTCTTTTTTATTATTATTATTATTATTATTATTAATCAATCAATCATTTTTTATTTCTCATTTTTTCTCATTCCTCTCACATTCTATATATCAATCAATAAAAAAAAAGTACAAATTGTCCCAAAACTATTTTCAAAACTCATAATCAAATAAATTTTTTCTTTTCAAATCATGATTCAAAAACTCAAAATACAATTCTACACTTAAATCTTAATTCTAAAACTAAATCAAACGGACCCTAAATTTTTTATCAAATAAATGACTAAATATCTTACATAAGTATGAGATCCATATTTTATGAACCTTACACCCATTTAAGATATTTAATCATTTATTTGATAAAAAAATTGAAACCTATAGTATTTTGTTTACGAGAGTTGAAACACAATCCCATAATACTCCATCCATCAAAAAATATTAGTTTCTTATTTCATTTTTTATTATCTTAAAATATTAATTTATTTTTAAAAATCAAAGACTAAAAATAATATAAATTTTCCATTTACCTTTCTTTTAAATTCATTAACAACACAAAAACTATAATTACGTCAATTGATATTCTCAAAAGAATAAAAAATACTATCAGAAAATAATTTGGAAAAATTAATATTTTTAAAATGTAATAATTGTACTACTAAAAAAATTAAATTTTTCAAAAAAGACTATTATTTTGAAATGGAGAAGTATTTCAAGTGTATTGCAATTAATAAAAGCAATGAAATTTATAAATTTTTGAAATACTTACGTATAAATCCTAATAAGTGGACTTAATTGTCTAATAAGTCTTATGAGAAAAATTTATCATAAAAAAAAAATCACAAATTGTAAATTTTAATGATAATTTATTAAAATCATGATAACAAAAAATCCCTAATTATTAATTTTTAACGATATATATAAAAAATGATCATAAAAAAATTATTTTTAACAATAATTTTACAAAAATTTATTTTCAATGATTAAATCTAACTATTAAGACCTATTAATAGTTTACTCTAAATTTTTTACGTTGAATAATGAAAGACAATAGGAGATCATGCTTAATAATTGATAAGAGGCATCGCCAAGGAGCTCGTAGACCTCCAAATAATTTTGCCTATATATATATACACACACGAGAACATATATAGAGCGAGTCATGTATATATAGTCATTTTAAAATACTATATTAATTTCAATCATAATTAAAAAAAAAACATGATAAATCATAACCAAATATAAACAAATTTTTTTTTTTCCAATCATAATAAAAACAATAATCATAATATGCCATAACAAACATCATAGTAAGTTATAATTAACACTACAATAAATAATAACAAAGACCACAAACATCATAACAAACAGAATTTGTTAATATGTCATTAAAATACATGTTAAAATTTTTAAAATTCTACATAAAAGGGAGAACAATATATATAAAACATAATTCATTTTAAACGTATGCCCAGCATCAATGCCACACTCATCCAAGATAGAGACCGACAATAAGGATGAATGCAGAGTTGCCAACACTGCATTCAAAGCATTTTTCTATGCCAGTGTTGTGAAAGTGCATTTCAAAAACTCAAAACACAAATATATGCACTTGGAGAAAAACTTGTGCGGCAGACCATTCGCATGATAGAACATGAACTGTAGATACAATATACTAGAGGACACCGCAGCTCTACTCTTTACCTCACATCAGTGAGCCTTAAGTTCTTAACAACCCGTCTGGTAATGACTCATCAATACGACACAAAGTTAAAGGTCATATAATATGAGCTCGTCAGTAGCCTCGTACTACAGGGGGTTAGGGGTGCACTCAAATAGCAGTCTATAATTAGAATTTAAGTACAAGGTTAGAGTTGATATGTATTTATATTAAACCAATTATACAAGCACTGGACATCGGAGTTCCTCTAATCACTCTCTATGTGTCAGCTGACTTCAGTCGCTTGGCTGCATGGATGAATTCTGCAATCACTTGGACCTCATCCACTTTCTGTATAAAGAGATTTAAGGAAACATCAGTTTTTAATCCCAGAGTTGAATGTGTTTTCGTGTGGATTCTGGAGAGAGAGGGAGAGAGAGAAACCTGTGAAGCAAAATGCTGCTGAACAACATTAACCACTTGTTCTTTGGTAAGATTAGGGTTAGCATTTAAAGATGAATATAAGCCAATAGCAGTCGTAAACTCCACAAATGACAAAATATCTCCCAGCCACAAACAGTGCATATTGCATTTTGGACTAGGAATAAAAAGGTTACAATTGTTTAGAATTCCCAGTGTAACTACCTACATGGTAACATGTTGCCATGACCAAAGTGCCATTGACCATGTAGACTTGGAGCTCAAACCAACAAAAAAATATATGTTCACGGTTATGCAATTAATTTGAAGGTACTTCGCATCAAATTTCCTACCAGAATTAAGACCAGACCATCCAAACATGAATTGCATGTTTGGTTGTATTTTTGTTTTTTGTTTTTGGAAAACACAAAATATGTGACTGGGATTTACAATTTTCAAATCATTATGGCTTAGTTGCCTAGGAAGAAAAATTAAAAAATCACTGTGGAAAGAACAAGTAATAGGTCTTCTTAATTCCTCACAACCATTTCGGTTTTCTGATCTAGTAATACTTCACTAAAAACTTTCATGTGCTGTTTTTATTACTGCACATCCAAAACCAATATAAAAACTAAAGATCAGGCCTCCAAACAGGCTTGTGCTATAGTACTTGGCCACCCATGCTTCAAGATGCAGACATATATTCAATACAGCTACATAAAACCTCAATTTCCTTTCATATTGCTTACCACTTGAGATGTCCGAATATTGGAGTGAACTTCTCTGTAAATACTACGATTGGATGACTTTGCTGATGCAGATGTAATCCATGGCCTTGTATACCGAACTCTTGGTTTGCTCAGTTTGCTGAACTCAATTCCATGGCCTTAACGGTATGATAAATTTCAAAACAATTGTTAGCACCACATGGTCTCCAAAAACTAAATAAAGTGTTTCAGGAGCTGCTGAAACTTACAGAAATCATTATCCTTTTCGCCAATGTCAGAGCTACTGCTAGAGTTACCAAAATCATCTTCATCTTCTTCATTCCCAGTGGGAGGTTCTAGAACACTCAGAGCATTCCTTTGCAGCTTCACTTCAACCCCATTCTTTAAAACCTGGCGTGCCAAAGTATATGTAAATTTAACAACCCATACCAATGAGACAACAGCAATAGTGGATGACAAGCTCAATTCAATGCACAAAGCATAGAAAGCAACTGCACTTAAATATTACCAAAAAGTGCAGCCATTAATATAAAAATTAAAGAAATTGCAGAGGATCAATTGATTTTAAATTACCAAGCTCCATTATATCCCTCAACCATAATTTTTTGATAACCAAACTGAATTGTCTTCTGTCCAAAACAAGTGGAGTTTGCTATGTGAATCTTTTTTCGTCATTCCACTCAGTCAAATCCCATTTACTCAATTAAATTAAACCATAAAGTTAAGGTGGAATAAATATTTCAGAATCCAAATCCACAGAGACCTAATAGCAAAACTATCAGAGGAACTCAATCAGAGTACCACTATGACATTTGAACTTTTGAGCAGTCTTCTAAAAAAATTGCCATATTCCACAATCCAGATACTCATGAGTCATGTCCTTCCAAAAGAAATAAAACAAATCGGATAAAATTAAAAAACCATGAAAAAGGACAACAGTATTAAAAAAACAAGAAAGATCATGCTATTAAAAATTTAGAAATCCTTAATTTAACTATTCAATACAGATGGCTACAAGAAACCAAAATTTAAATTAAGTGATTCTTTATAATTACAAAGTGAAACAAAGGAGCATACAAAATAAATAAACTGAAAAGATACCAATCATCAGTTACAGTACAATGAACAGAGGAAAAGGGGTATAAAAAGAAATACCAGCCAATGCCAACCACCGAGACCAACAGCCTTCTTGACGACTCCTTGCAAACCCACCAAAACAGACTTTGTTCTATTGTTTCCTGTCACAACAACTTTAGTGTGCCTAGGAAGCACGGAAAGCTCTTCATCACCACTTTCCTCCCGAAAAGGAGAGAGAACCCGAGAAGAACATAACTCGGGTTCCATCATTTTAGCAACCTAAATTCTTCCTCACAATTTCAAGCAACAAGTACAAACCAAATAAACCCAATCAATTAAAAAAGAAGTGAAACAGCAAATTTACCCCCCCCTCCAGTGCCTAAAAACTGCAAAAGCCTTCCTCCTCATAAGAAAACAGACATTAAACAAACCCAATTTACAAGAAGAGCAAGCAACATAGCGAACTTGGCTTTAACCATCCAATACCCAAAAATCAAAATGTTGCAGAACCCAGTATTTATAATGTACTGCAGGCCTAGAAACCCATCAACTTCAGTTCATACCATATCTTTTCTAACTGTTTGCACTTGTATCATGCATTTTGATGCAACTTATCTTCACTACGACTTGCAGATCAATAGCGGAGTTCCAGAGAGATTTCAAAGGAGTGAAGCAGAAAATCCCAGAAACCAAATAAAATCCCTGAAATAGTAAAGATTGAGGATATGTTATGAAGCAGTTCAAAGCCCTACAGCGACTAAATCATCTCAATCTTCAATGTCAAGTCGGGTACATGTCTATGAGAGAGATATATATGTTATGTATTATTGGTACTGATTGTGGAGGGTTTGACATGAAATTTTCCCTTTAAGAAAATGTTGAACAAATCTCCCAAAATTCAAGGACTCAAATTGGCAAACAGTAAATGAACACAGCAGTTTCTTCACAGTTCAAATTAACTTGGAAAGTATTATAAAATCATAGGGCATCACTTAAACCCTAAAATTTCTTAATTAATCTAAATAACCTCAATAAAGCTTTACAAATCAAACTCATTTACTTACCTAAAAGCCAAAAATAAATAAATAAAACCCACTAACCCTAAAATTCCTTAACAAGCAACAATTAAAAAAAAGAAAAACACGTTTTTAATCACAAAACTAAGCTCAATAAAAACAGATTTAAAATGAAACTGCACAGAGAGAGAGAGAGAGAGAGAGAGAGAGAGAGAGATTGTGAAACACTGAATTCAGATGGAAGAAGGAACCAAAAAAGCCCTAGAAATGAAGTTTCAAGTAGGTTATAAAATAATCAAAACATGGCGAATTAAAAGATACAGAGCATTTGAACAAAATGCGCGAAATCATGAATCATAAAAACTCCAACACTCCATACCTCCTGTATACACAGCTCTGAACAAGAAATTAGAGAATGCGAGTGCGAGAGAATCGCAAGCAGAGGTTTTCGGAGTCCAAATTCGGGGTCAGATTAGCCCAAAACTCGACAGATCTGAGAGAAATGGGAAGTTGGAAAGTGGGTTTGAGTGACGAAAATGAGCGAATTTTGAGAGTGAGCGTGTGAGTGTTCGCTCTGTGCTGAGGAATTACTTGAATCAATAAAAGTAACAGAGTGTAGAGAGAGAGAGAGAGAGAGAGAGAGAGACATACACTAAATGCTTACCAACTGCCATGGAAACGACCTTCTTCAGTGGATGTAGAGGTAAGGTAATGCTAGAGAGACTGTTAAGGTCACGCAGCTGCAGCAAGGGTTTGTATATAACCGGGTTGACCGGTTTTACCAGTTGTTTTTGCCTTGCCAGTGGGGTTCATGCTTCTTCTGCTTCATCAAGATATGATCAAATTGGCTAAAGAGCCGTTCGGCTCTGTGATTCTGGCTCGCCGTTAAGCTTTTGTCTTTTTTGAATAAATAATGTTATATGTATCAATTAATGTGCTAATTAATATATTAACAGATTATATGACATAATTTTAAAAATTTTAAATATTTATAATTTGTATAATAAGTAGGATCGATAATAATAACATAATATTAATTGATATATTAGTGTTTATATCAATTAATATATGTAGCACTATCGTTTTTCAATATATAGCATTTTAGTTACTCACTTATTATTGATTTATTCGAATCACATAACAATTTTATTTTTTCATTTTTTTATAATAAACCAATAAATTCAATAGAATTCATTTCCCAAAATAGACATATGGCTTAACAAGTAAAAATAAATTACAAACATAATTTCTAAAATTTTTTAATTTTCAATAATTATTGAAGTGGTCATAAGAGAATATTTTTAGGTGTCAAAGAAAGCGAAAAAAATAAAAATAAAATAATAACTACTAATTGTTATCTTGTGAAAAATATAATCTCTTAAATTTGTTGAAAATATAGATTAGTAATACTTTCTTGTTAGAATTTTTTATTTAATAAAATTAATAAAAAAATCATAACTACTATGTTATGCAATAATTATTAATTGAAATATAGTTTTTAACTATAAGTTTCAATGAGAATATTTGCAATTATTAAGAATGAGTTGTTAAAATTAATAGATAGTATTACTCCCAACTTAAAAGTTTAAACTCACTTTTTAAATTTAAAAATATAGCAAAATATCCCATGCAAATATTTTCTTTCTCATATTTATGTAATTATTAATTAATTATTTTTAGAAAGTATGCTTAAAAAGTGTATTTTTATATTATTTTTTAAAAAATAATATATGCTTGTTACAAACTCAAGCTCCAAGTCGAAAGCCTGGAGCAGATGAGCCGATTAAGGGATTGGTGGGGGACCGGTAAAAATGTGCTAGGGGAAGCGGGAGAACGAAGGGACTGAACATACACGTGTTTGGTGACAGCTGTCGGATCTTATCCTGGCACAAAATATACACTACTTTCTCTCTCTGTCTCTCTCTCTCTCTCTCTCTATCTGTCTCTAAAGTTGTAGGGTATGTACGTAGGAACTGTAGTGTAGTGTAGTGTGTATATTCAAAAACTGTATGTATTATGTATGTATACTGGAATTTGAGAGGAATAATTGGGTTAAATTTAGTTTCAAAGGGCAGGGCGGGTTCCCATCCTCCACCGTTGATTACATTTCCTATCAATCCCTCTCCTTTTTTAAGAAGTTTATTGGTTGGTATTGTACCTTCGTTTGAGATACGAGTTGTTTTTTTAATTTTTTTAGATAAATTATAAATACCCCTTGAGATTTGTTAAAAGTATAATTTTTTTTCTAAAGTTTGAGAAATTACATCTCATTCCCTGATATTTATATTTTCATAACAAATTATCTCTTGAGATTTTTATTTTTATACAGATTTCCCCTAATTTTCTTTAATTTGTTATGAAAATTTGACCCTCATGGGGTAATTTGTAATTTCTCAAACCTCAGAAGGGAATCTGTATTTTTACCAAACCTCGAGGGGGTGTTTGTAATTTGCCCAATTTTTTTTAAAATTTTATTTGGTAATAATATATTTTAATTAAAAAATTATTATATTATTCTTTTTATTTCATACATATTTTTTTTTTATAAAAAATTAAAAAATTATTAAAATAATTTGTTTTCAAATAAGGCCTTAGCCTATAACTAAAAAATATCGTTTAGGATGAGTTTTTGGTCTTCTTGACTTTTATGAGAAAAAAAATAAAATGATTATGATTTTAATGTGACATTTTATCTTATTGACTTTTAACTTATTTTATTTTTTGTGACTATTTTAGTCCAAAAAGTTTATGCCAACATAGCCTATAATTGGTGGAGGTGGTTACGATTTTGTGTTGGGTAATTCAAAAAGAATCAGACTTATTTTCAGTCTAAGATTGGATTAAAGTGTGTTATTGGATTCATGAGAGTCCATCATAGGTCCTGTTTCAATGATTCAAATCGTTCAATGTATAAAACTCGTTGAGTACTTTATCGCTATAAAAAAGCACGTTGATGACATATTGATAATTACTTGATTGAATTAGATTTTTATCAATGGTAAATATAATTTTTAAAACAAAATTGTTGACAAATATCTGATCCGATCAAGTAATTATTGATAGCCGATCAACGTGATTTTTTACGAGGATAAATTACTCGACGAGCTCTACACTCTGAATAGTTCGAATTATCGAAACAGGACCCCAGTCTAAGATTGGATTAAAGTGTGTTATTGGATTCATGAGAGTCCATCATAGGTCCTGTTTCAATGATTCAAATCGTTCAATGTATAAAACTCGTTGAGTACTTTATCGCTATAAAAAAGCACGTTGATGGCATATTGATAATTACTTGATTGAATTAGATTTTTATCAATGGTAAATATAATTTTCAAAACAAAATTGTTGACAAATATCTGATCCGATTAAGTAATTATTGATAGTCAATCAACGTGATTTTTTATAAGGATAAATTGCTCGACAAGCTCTATACTTTAAATAGTTCGAATTATCGAAACAGGACCCCTGGTGAGCCTTACAGGTCCAGTAGCATCGTCTACCTAACAAGCCTAGTCAATTCAGAAATTATTAAGCAGTATCGTCATATAGCGTTTCAGGAATACCAGATAATTTTTCTTGTTTTTAAAATTTTATTTTAAGATTATAAAAAAAAAAAAATTGCATGATGTTTGAAATTTTAGTTTATTACAACTCATCCATTAGTTCTTAAAAATGAAAATGTCTAAAACTCACACACAAAAAAAAAATAATAATAATAATAAAAATTACAATTGTACTCGTAACGATGGGATGTTAGATGGGTTAATATTTGATTTGTTATTTGTCTAATAATATAGGATTTCATCCTCTTGCCATATTAATGGGTAAATTTGTAAAGGAAAATGCATGTGGGGTGCTGAGGTCTCTTGTGATTAGTCTAAAAAATTGTTTTTTTTTTTTTTTTGCTTTCAGCCAATGACAGAGCCTTATGTAACACTGGGCAGGGGTCACTGGAGGTCTCCCCCACTGGGGTCGGACAAGGGGTACCTGCTGTGCTTAAGCACAGCAGGGTGTGCCGTGCATGCAAAAACGACACAGTTTTTTTTTTTTTTTGGAAACAAAACAAAATAAAACCATACAAATCTTCATAGGCATTTATTGTAGTAAGGAGAAATATCTACTAGCATATTTTTTATTTTATTTTTGAAAATTCATATGAGTTGAAATTTATTATTTATTGAGTATTATATTTTTAATGTTTTTAAACATCAAATTAGATTAATTATATTTTATTTGACATTGATATTTGGTTGATTTTTTGACAAATCAATAAATAATATGTAATAATATACATCGTTGCAAGTAAATTTAACAGTAATTTTTTAAGGAATTTATATATATATATATTTGATTTGTCTGAATGAGTACAATATTATATTGTTGTTATTATTATTATTATTATTTTTTGAAGAAATTATTAAAAAAAATCTCAGGTAATAAAATAAATTATGAGTTTTTAATTTTATTAATTTAAATTTTAAAATTTTGATTTGTTTTTAATCTCAAATCATTTATCCATTTTTGATAGGTAAAACTCACATTTTTTAAAAAAAATTTTAGTCATTAAACTCAATATAGATATGTATAAAATGTCTAAAATATCATTTTCTGTCAATTTAGCTAATGAAAATAGGTCAATGGTTTAACTACAAAAATAAAAAAATTAAGATTAAAATTAATAAAATTACAAATTTATAAGTTATTTTATTATAAAGGCCAAATTTTAAGATTTTTTTAAAAATAATTTTGCCTTATTATTTTTGTTTATTTTTCTTAAAGTAAGGTAATTTTGATAGATGTGCTCAAACCAAAAACTAACCAATAGCAGCACACACACCAATAAAAAAGAAAAAACAAAGAAAAAATTATATTAAAAAAAAAGAAGCAAAACGCACCAAAATTGTGCCGTTTTGCCGCACTGCAGTACCTGCTGTACAGCAGGCACCCCTTTCCCTTAAAAATATTACTACATCATACTCTAGTGTGAATTGATTGAAGTTGGGAAGTCACTTATTTTAGTTAGTTATTTGGCTATTTTAGTTTGACTAAAATAGTTGTGTTTAGAAAATTAGTTTTTTTTTTTTTTTTTTTTTTTTGATTTGATGATTATGAAAAAAAAAATTAATTATAAGTTAGATGTGATATTTTATCTTAGCTTATTTTACTTTTTAGTGGGCCATTTTAACCTAATCATTTTCCCAAATACCCCATATTGAAAGGGAAGTAAATATTTTAATCAAAAAATGATTATAAGTGTTATATAACTAAACAAGGCCTGAGTAATATAAAAAAATAAATTTAATATCTAAATTTAATATCTATAATCCTGAAAATTAATTTAATTTTATTTATTTTTACTTATTTAAACATCTTTCCATTATAAAAAATTTAAAAATTAAAAATTACTAATTAAATTAATTTTAAAACAAACCCTGATTATAGATATTAAATTTATTTTTTTATATTACTTAGGCCTTGTTTGGGAACATGCTATTTTAGTAACTTTTTGACTAAAATATGAAATAAAAAAAACTTATATGTTTAGAATAACTCTTTAGTTTTTTACGAAAAGATATGTAAAAAGTGGATGGAAAATAGAATATTTGATTTTTTAGTATAAGTTATTATAAATTATCACATTATTTTTTTTATTTTATACATATTTTTTTTTATTTATAAAAAGTTAAAAACTTATTAAAATAATTTGTTTTCAAATAAGGCCTTAGCCTAGAACTAAAAAATATCGTTTTGGATGAGTTTTTGGTTTCTTGACTTTTATGAGAAAAAGAATAAAATAATTATGATTTTAATGTGACATTTTGTTTTATTGACTTTTAGCCTGTTTTATTTTTTATGACTATTTTAGTCCAAAACGTTTATGTCAAACATAGCCTATAATTGGTGGAGGTGGTTACGATTTTGTGTTGGGTAATTAAAAAAGAATCAGACTTATTTTCAGTCTAAGATCGGATTGAAGTGTGTTATTGGATTTGTGAGAGCCCACCATGGGTCCTATTTTGATGATTCAAATAGTTCAATGTGTACAGCTCGTAGAGTACTTTATCGCTATAAAAAATCACGTTGATTGCATATCAATAATTACTTGATTGAATTAGATTTTTATCAATGGTAAATATAATTTTTAAAACAAAATTGTTGACAAATATCTGATCCGATCAAGTAATTATTAATAGCCGATCAACGTGATTTTTTACGAGGATAAATTACTCGACGAGCTCTACACTCTGAATAGTTCGAATTATCGAAACAGGACCCGTGGTGAGCCTTACGGGTCCAGCAACATTGTCTGGCCGACAAGCCTGGTCCATTTGAAAATGAGTGAGTAGTATCGTCATGTAGCGTTTCAGGAATACCAGATAAATTTTCTTGTTTTTAAAATTTTATTTTAAGATTATAAAAAATAAAAAATAAAAAAATTGCATGATGTTTGAAATTTTAGTTTATTACAACTCATCCATTAGTTCTTAAAAATGAAAATATTTAAAACTCACAAAAAAATAATAATAATAATAATACTAATAAAAATTATAATTGTACTCATAATGATGGGATATTACATGGGTTAATATTTGATTTGTTATTTGTCTAATAATATAAGATTTCATCCTCTTGCCATATTAGTAGGTAAATTTGTAAATTAAAAGTGTGGGTTTATAACATTACTCTTTAAAAATATTAGTACATCATACTGTAGTGTGAATTGATTGAAGTTAGGAAGTCACTTATTTTTGTTAGTTATTTGGCTATTTTAGCTTGACTAAAATAGTTGTTCTTAGAAAATTAATTATGTTTTTTTTTTTTTTTGGTAATTGATTTGATGATTATGAAAAAAAAAATGATTATAAGTTAGATGTAATATTTTGTCTTATTAAATGTTTTAGCCTATTTTATTTTTTAGTGGGCCATTTTAACCTAACCATTTTCCCAAATACCCCCATAATGAAAGGGAAGTAAATATTTTAATCAAAAAATGATTATAAGTGTTATATAATTTTTTTATTTATTTTTACTTATTTAAACATCTTTCCATTATAAAAAATTTAAAAATTACTAATTAAATTAATTTTCAAACAAACCCTGATTATAGATTTTAAATTTATTTTTTATATTACTTAGGCCTTGTTTGGGAACATGCTATTTTAGTAACTTTTTGACTAAAATATGAGGTAAAAAAAACTTATATGTTTGGAATGACTCTTTAATGTTTTACGAAAAGATATGCAAAAAATAAAAAGAAAATAGAATGTTTGATTTTTTAATATAAGTTAAAGGCTTTTTGATTTTTTATAATAATTTTTTAATTTTTAAACTAAAACTGTTACATAACAAACGATGCCTTAATTACATAATAAATTAGAATATACGTGTTTTTGTTTTTGTTTTTGGCAAGGCTTATTTCACACATTTGTCAACTATTCCTCGTTTGATGACTCAACTTTTTTATAGTAATTTCGTTTTTTGTTTTAATTTTTATGAGATGAAAAGAACTAGTGTTTGAAATGATTTTTTTAATTGAATAGATAATTATGAAGAAAGAAAAAGATTGATTAATAGATAATTATGAACAAAAAAAAAGATTGATTAATATGTATAATTTAATATTTTGATTTTTTTGCAACTTTTTGATATTTTAAGCCAAAAAGCTAATAGCAAAACAAGCCCTACGTAACCCTCTATTTGGGACTATCCGAACGCATCTAAGTAGAGCTTGGAAAGGGAACTGGCTTCACAGGAACGCAGCAACCAAAGATGGACACAAAAGCATGATTCGGATTATCTGCAATTCTTTCTTATAATATTGCATAATAGAAAATTTGTTTCTCAAATACATCCAACAAAGTCTACAAAAACGGAAAAACTTTTAGTCCAACCAATCTCAGCAAATCAAACTCAATGAAGCGAACGAAGAAAAGCTGGACAGCTAAAAAGTGGAGTACCAAAAAAGAAAAAGAAAAAGAAAAAGAAAAAAAAAAAAGATCAACCATGATCTCAATAATTATACAAGAAAGCAAATAAAACCAAAGAGAAAAATCAACACGGGAACGGGAAAAAGGCGCAGGAATCAACTCTTGAGGATAGTTTCGATGGCTTCAAAGAAAAGAGGAGCCATTTCAGGGCTTGGAATTTTGATTGCGCACTTAAGCCCGGGGATTCCAATAACCGTTGTGAGTTCAATCAAGAAGGGGATTCCTCGAGGGATCTTGGCGGAGAGATACAACACCTCCTGGTTTGCATGCTTACGCTTGGCAATGAAGAACAAGTTTGATGTAGCTAGCCGGTCTAGGGTTGCTTCCACACTGTTCACGACGATGCCTGGAAAGTCCTTTGAGACCTCATTTGAATCGGGCAAGGACTTCCATGCCTGCCAAAAACACAAAAGCATCAGGTTTCAGATTCGGTTGTCGCCACCAAACATCTCTACTTGAATATGGCAACTGGCAACATTTCCAATATGCTTCCAGATCAAACATGATTCATGCATGCATTGCTCATAACCAACATTAGTACAATGAACAAAGTTTTTTAAAATCATAAGAGTGGTGATCGCCCCTTTGCTACCCCCCCAAGTCCATACTTGCCAACATTAGTACAACAAAGAAATTCATGAAATATCCAGATAATGGAAAATTCAAAAATAAAAACATTTTTAAAAAACATTTTTCAAACGGTCATTGATTCAGGTCCTATCACTCTGAAAATTTTTATGGTCATCATCCTAATATGCTATTGGAAAGTCAAAATATATCTCTCTTTTTGTTTAAATTAATTTTTTATATATATTTTTACCTCTAGGAAAGCAGAACGCTCCATTCTCCCATCCTCGGTGAAGAATGGTAGCAATGATACTTTATCATTAAAATACCAGACGGGTTGTTGATTATTTTTCACAGCAACCTGCAGAAGCATGTTTGGAGGACCAGGAGCTATGTTCTGGAATAAAACCATCGGCAGAAGAGTTGTTGCTGACATTCCAGGTTGCAATAGCGGGACCTGATTAGCAGTTAGAAATTACTCTAATGCTCAACCTTAGAAAAGATTTGTTTCATGACCACGGAACTAACAACTACCTGTAGTGGTCCAGCAGCAGCAAGACCGAACGTGTTCTTGTTGAACTGGATCATAAACCCATCAAGGGGAATCTGAGTATTGTTCTCAAACATAATGCTGTAAAATATTTGGCCATCTCTTCGTACCAACTGTGCACTGATTTGTAGACCTTGACCAGTTGACGCTGGTAATACAACAGGCAAAGGAGGGCTGCAATTGAAATTGGAACTCTATGTCAGTACATTCATAGGAACAAAAATCGTATCAATTGTTGACTAACACATTTTACTAATTTCTTGAATGTAAAAAATCTCATGAATTGAAAATTTAGCCATCATTAGCATTTAGGTAAAACTCCCATAACAGCCAAAACCCTTCAATAATTTGAACAATCTATGAAGCATAGGTACGGATATAGAAAACGGATACGACAATACGACGAAAACTTAAAAAATAGGATGAGGGGACGGCTAGGATATGTAAAATATATAATTTTTTATATTATACATGAACTCAAGAGTAGTAGGAAACCATTTTTTAGGAATTAGATATTAATTTAAGAGTTAATAGTCAGTTTAATCCTTTTTTTAGATATTAGGAAGTATCGGGTATGTATCCGCAAGTATCCAAGAAGCATCAATATCCAATACAAATATGATACGGATACAACTCCCTTTTTGAAGTATTTGTGCTTCATAGCCAACATTTCAGCAATGATCTCAGACACGTACTGCAAATAAATCCAGACGCCTAATTATTTCATATCAAACAACCTATTATACCGATATTCCACCGTACTTACCCAGCAGGTAGTGCGGGTTGATCAACGGGTACAATAGCATTATTACTATTGTCATTATTGTCAAGGCCCATCAAATCACCAAGTAAATCTGGCACAGGAGCAGGGGCTGGTTGTTGCCTTGCCACAGCTTGTGAAGTGCTACTTGAAGTAGCTGGTGGTGATGCAGCACTGTCCAATGCATGAGCAGGTGATTCAGAATTCCCCATTTCACTCCCATCAGGGTAGTCTTCTTCTTCAGTTCTTTGGGTAGTCTTCACACGGGTTACAAATGCATCCGGGGGCTTGTGATACACAGAGGACAAAGTAGCAATATTGGCAAGAAGCTCATCAAGAAGAGAAGGATCAAGTAGGTTTGAATCGTCACTGATCACAGGCTTCTCAGCTAACACAACATCCTTAGCTGCCTGGGAGAGGGAAAAGAAAAAGCAGGTTTGTTATGAATATATAATGGCTTATGGTTCTAAGGTTTGAGAATATTAACACAGATAGTTCAGAAAGCCATAAAAAGTTAAGCTGCCAAACTATGTAACACAACCCTCCTCTTTCCTCCAATCTGGAAGTGGCCTTGTCCAGAGAGAGAACCTTTAAAATGGGAAAAGCAGATATTGAAATGGGATCATCTAGCTCAAACATAGAGCTAGTACAGAAATATTAAGGTTTTGCTCATCTTTCACATGGATAAACTTAGAAGCTGTGACAAGAATAACATTGTACAATGACTCCAATAGCAACTCTTGTGGCAACAAAAACCATTAAATATAATTTCATGAAAAAAGGAGAGAAGAAAATAATTGGGAACTGTGTATATCAAACATGTAAAGAGAGAAACTAGAATTGATTTCTAATTGTTACAAACCTCAGGATCAGTAGAAAGAAGACGCCAATATATATATGCACGATCACGCAAATCTGGATTGTCAGTCTCCACCGTGGCATTGTTCAACACAACCTACCAAGACCGTGATGAATAGTGAGAATCAACAAGAGTAAAGAAAATGAATCAACAAGAAAGCTTAAAAAAACCATCTATTTCCAAAATCATCTACTTCCTGCTAAAGCTACAATAGCTACAATGATTCAGGCTGTTCAAAAAAAGAATAAATAAACCAAACCAAACCAAACCAAGCCGAGCCTTAAAGTCCCATCAAATGGGGTCGGCTACATAAATTATTCTTCTCCACGCGGCTCTATCAAAAGCCATTTCGTTAGTCAAATTAAGTAGATCCATATCTCTATTTACAACATTAGCCAATGTTAATCTAGGCCTACCCGATCCTCTAATACTTCCATCTACCGTCGCTGCATCACATCTCTTCACTACTGCCTCTGTTGGTCTCCGTTGAATATGACCAAACTATCTCAATCAATTCTCTCTCAACTTATCTTCTATTGGTACTACTCTTACCCATTCCCGAATACAATCATTCCTAATTGTGTCTTGTCTAGTCTGCCACATATCTACTTTAGCATCCTCATCTCAGCCACACTCATCTTATCTACATTTTGTTTTTTGGTTGCCTAACACTCCGTCCCATACAACATCGCTGGTCTAATAGCCGTTCTATAGAACTTACCATTTAGTCTAGTGGGTATTCGTTTATCGCACAGTACCCCAGACCCACTTACACCATCTCGTCTTAATCCTATGGGCCACATCCGCACCAATCTGCCCTGCTGTTGTGATAATTGACCTTAAATAACGAAAATGTTCACTCTTAGGCAGTTTTTGGTTCTTAATCTTCACTTCTCCTCTGCTTTCATTGTTACTGTTACTAAATTTTTACTCCATGTCCTCTGTTTTAGTTCTGCTTATCCGGAATCCTTTAGATTCAAGTGTTTTTCTCTAAATCTCCAACTTTGTGTTAACTCCTTCTCTAATCTTATCTACTAGCACGATATTGTCTGCAAAAAGCATACACCATGGCATGTCATCTTGAATATTTCTCATCAACTCATCCATACCTAAAGCAAAAAGATAAGGACTTAAGATAGATCCTTAATGTAACCCTACAGTGATAGGAAATTCATTTGTCTCTCTAGCAAGCGATCTAATAGTAATCACCACCCTTCATACATATATCTAATCACATTAATGTAACCTTTTATCACCCCTTTTTTTCTCTAACACCCACCATATTATATCCCGATGCACTCTGTCATATGCTTTCTCAAGGTCGATAAACACTATATGAATATCTCTTTTCTTTTCTCTATACTTTTCTATTACGCTCAAAAAATAGAACGCTTCCATTGTTGACCTGCAAGGCATAAACGCAAATTGATTCTCTGACACCTCTGTTATATCTTGCAATCGGCATTTCATCACCCTCTCCCACAGTTTCATTATATGACACACTAGCTTGGCATTATTACCACATGGGTGGTTGCAACTCATTTATTCATATTGATTAAAGACTACATAATGTTCTAATTGCCAATTTGAGAGGTTAACATTCTATAACACCATTCAAAGGCAATTGATTGTAAGGGGGAGCTAGAATATTTTCCATAAAATGAGCATATGATACTCAAACATGATGAAAAGGCCAAAACAACATACCTGAATCATCTGCTGTGGGCCTTCAGTTGGCTTCTTAAGAAAAAGTTTGACAGTGGCAGTCAGCAATTGCAATTGTACTTGTGCAGGCTCTTCAGGAAAACTTTCCAAAAAGCTCTCAAGGAGCTCATCAGCATTGTCAATTCTCTCTGCATATTCTCCAATTATCCAGATCATTGATGCCTGCCAAAAAAAAGAATAAATTGATTAAGAAGATCATAAAATATAAATAATGAAAAAACATAAGCCATCACACAAAGCCAAAGCCTTGCAATTGTTTAGGAATACCTTAGCCTCAGGCTCATCTAAAGTGTCTAAGCTCTCACAAAGTGTAGCAATGATGGACTCGTAGCTGAGAGTAACAAAGAATAAAACTTAATCTAGAACTAGAAGACAAGAATCAGGCTGACAACATTATAATGAAAACTCATAATGAAAGACAAAAATCTACAACACTATTACAATTCAAATTTATAGAAAAAATCCATCAGATTTGCATAAAAAGGGGATAAAAGAAACTTACGTGTTAGGGTATCTTCTAAATATATCCTTAATGACTATGATAGCTTCTTGAACGACATAGTTTACTTTAATCTTAATCAACTCAAGTAAAACACTAATGCATCGCTCAGCTGCTCTCTCTAACTTGATGGCACAACGTCCAATAGCACGAACAGCCTTTCTGACAAAATCTACATCTACTTCTGTAGCATATTCTTTAAACTCCAACAGAACCTGAAAAGTGATTATCAATTGAGCATTAAAACCAAACCAAAATCAGTTTAAAAAACTTTAAAATTAGATAACTCTTACTAAAGTCTACTTGCCTGGTCTATATTTCGGTCTGAAGCTAGCTTTATCATGATTTCTAACTTTTCCATCTTCACATAAATGGGATCATTGTACTTGCAGAAAAACACCTACAAACAGAAAACATAGTTTCATAAGTACCAATTTTTTTACTACAAATCTTAATTACAAGAAGCCATAAAAAGAAATCCTTGTTCATTCACACGTGTGTCAATTAAGACAACCCTATCAAATCACCTTGATTTCATGGGCAAGAATCGTAGGCCGCTTTTGTACAATAAGGTTGATGTTTCGTAATGCAACATATTGAATCTCAGGTTCTGCAGACAGTAATGTCACAAGAGGAGGAGCCATTTTCTTACAAAGATTCCGAACTATATCAGTACTGGTGATGAGTTCCATTTGTTGGAGGATCATCTGGAAGGTTGTAGGGGAAGATAGTTAACAATAAATTCAACAAGTCAATGATACGTGAGGCATTCAAAAATGTTAGTGAGGATGGAGAATACCAATCAAGTCAATCAAAAGAATTAAATGTCACCTTGACAGCTGAAAGAACAACCGCACAATTTGCATGTTGTAGTCGTGGAGTAACACGCTCCACTATATTCTCAGCTTCACGAGCATCAGCTGCCTTGTACTTGGAAAGAGCATCCAATATGAAAACTTGACCCCACCTGAACTTGTATGTCAAACAAGAAAAACAATACAGTTAATATTGGGAAAATTTTAGCAATCAAATTACATATTGCTATAAAGGATGGCAGCTAGTTTTAAAAAATTCACAATGCATGATTTATAGTCAACAGAGCTTTAGATCAGCCACATCCTGTTCTGAGCATCACAGCTATTCACAATGAGTTACCATTCCTCTCCCAATCTAAAGTTATTTCCTCGTCCCAATCATGGTCTCTTACATTGTTCAATTTATCTCAAGAGAACTAGAACAGAATGTTCAAAGCAAAAAGTTATTGATTAATTCCTCCAACTCATAAACAATAGGATGAGAAAAGTTGAAAACAAGGAACTCCTGTAACAAATCCCCCTGGTCTGGTTGTGAAAAGTTGACATTTTAAACCCAATTAACAACTAAATGCTGAAATTACAAAACAATAACTCAAAGACTAAAAATTATGTACCATTTTAGATATATAATCATATGAACAGGCATCAAAACAATTTATTGGCCATTTCAAACAGCTTGTAAAAATTTATTAGATCAATATAATTGTTTTAACCGAACTTAAGATAACAATGATGCAAATTTAGTACCATGCCAAGTATGGCAAATGATATTTCCTAGTACAATTAGGCCATGTTTGTTTGGGCGAACATGTGCTTGGGATTGGACTAATAGTCCAACAAAATTATTAATCCAATGTTTGGTTAAAAAATTGAAGTATGGACTAATAACCCATCCGGATATGATATCCTACATATGATGAACTATTCAATCTCACAGAGGGTGTAGGATATAAATTGAGAGACTAAACCAAAGTCTAGACTAACTCATCAAATGACCAAATTAACCCTGACTATATATATATTAACCCTCATTTAAATATTTTAAAAATATTTGAAAAAATTTCAATAAAATATTTTTTTAATTTGTAAATATTTTAAAAAATTAAGAAAAAATACAACTAAGAGCATGATATTGACATATTTTTTGTTGGAGATGATCTAAGAACAATAATATTATTATTTATAACAATTATGAATGGCAGTAATCATTAATTACCACCCTAAACTTTTAATTCAACCATGTCTACAATTGGTATTTTGTATGCATCTTTTAATAAATATATTTGCTCCATTTTCTATATTTTCTGATATCATTATTTTTCTAAATAGCTATATTTCATAGTTGAATGATTTTTGGTATTTTTTTGTTCAAAAAAAAAAAAAAGAGTTAAATTTTGTTCAAATGAGTGTCTTTTTGAATTTGGGTAGTGATTCAGTGAATGATTGGATGACTAAAATAGCAATGCATATTTTTTAATGGTTGTTTGTGTATATAAATTTTATGGTGAAATGATTTTTGATGTTTTCTGTTAAAAAAGGGGGTTAAATTTTGTTCAAATGAATATTTTTTTGAATTTGGGCAATGAATGATTAGAATAGCGGTGCATATTTTTTAATGGTTGCTTGTGTATATATAAATTTTATAATTGAATGATTTTTTTAAATTTTTTCTATTAAGAAAAAGTGGGGGTTAAATTTTGTTCAAATAAATACTTTTTTGAATTTGGGCAATGAATGGTTAGATGATTAAAATAACAGTGTATTTTTTTTAATGGTTGCTTATGTATATATATAAATTTTATAGTTGAATGATTTTTGATTTTTTCTATTAAAAAAAAAGTAGGTTAAATTTTGCTCAAATGAATTGAAATGGATGTGGAGCAACAATAGGGAAATTTGCTTTTTAAAAATTATAACACATGCTAGTGCAATATTTTACAATAATTATAATAGGGATATTATGGTCAATATATTGGATGTCCTATATCTTGTCATGTCCTATCCATTCCAATCCCCTTAAACAAAACATCAGATTGAATAATATTTTATTAATCCCTTCTTATAATCCTAACTCAATCCAAACATAGAATATGATACACAATCTAAAGGGATTCGTAGTCCTAAGACTATTAGTCGTAAGAACGCTAATCCAACTTAATCTAATCCGTCCAAACAAACATGCCCTTATGGTACACACCCATGCCACTGACCTATAAATAGGGACTTCAAAGACGGCACAGAAAAAGTACTTTGGCATGGAATATCTACAAACAGTGTAGTAGTGATTTGGAACCTCCTTGCTTAGTGCATTAATCAGATACCATGTGAATTTTTTTCTAATAAACATCAACTATATATAACCTATTGAGAAAGCAACATTGACTGAAATACATGCCGTGTTTGGTATAGCTTTTTTAAGTTAAAATCTGAAAATCAGAAAGCAGAAGCTAAAAGCACCCCTTCCCCAACTTTTAAATAATCAACTTATTTAAGTTATTTCTGTCTAATAAGCCATAAGCAGAAGCTACACCAAATAGTCTAGCATAGACTCCCAAATTAAAATACGCTATAATCACCTCTTAGAATCTATACCAAATAGCCCCACAATGTACCACCACCCCACCCCAATAACATTAAACTATAGCATATATTTTCATGTTACCACAGAGCATAACAAATTTTTTGAAACACAAACTCACTCTGTGCATTCATTTAGGGCAGTAAGGAGCTTTGAAAGTGTATGGCTCATGATCTCAAATATGGGCTTGCTGCTGTTCTCTTGAATCTCCGCAAGTGCTGCAACAGCGTTCGCAACAACCATTGGATTATTGTCAGATATCAAATCCTTGAGAGCTTCCAAAAATCCCCTATCCTCTACCAGCTCAGCATTTATGTCATAAAGTTTAGCAACACATATAGCTGCTGTCTTGCGAACATAGGGATCATCATCCTAATAAAAAATGAAATTAAGTATTAATAATTCATTATTTCATGTGAACATTCTGGAAATATGAATAGCATGTGCAACTGAACTATAAGACATTTGCAGAATTGTTGCAGCGGAGTAAATTTGAGAATGGCATGTGAGATGCTAAAAATCTAAGACTAGTTAAAGTTTCTAATAGACAAGCTTTTGAAAACAACTATAAAATCAACCTTAAGACACCTCTGAAGGGGATCACACAGATATTCTGTGATTTTATCAACGCGAATGCATCCCATTGTCCGCACAGCCAATGCACGAATCAGAGGGTTTGGATCCTGAGAATCCTGCAAAAAAGCCCATAAAATAACAGATGTTAGATATTCATAGAAGCATCTTTTCATCTATATAAAAATAGAATACATAATATTAAAAGCAAAAAAAAATAATATTTAACCTCCACTCCTACAATTAATAAAGGTATGTTTGTGTGATCATGGCATGCACATCAAACTACAAAATTTCCATTAGCTATAATATACATGCATTACATACATATATATACATGCAATGCGTTTTCGGTATAACACACGAGGCACAAAGTCATTTATCACTTATTTAGTCACAGTATGAATGAATTATGACATTGAAAAATAAGCACAGTATCCATTTCAACAAGGAAAATTGGTAGTACAACCACAAATTTCATTCTGGAAGTCCCTAACAATAATGAAATGTAGGAAGACCAAAGTTTGTCCATAATTCTTACCTTCACAAATGTATTTACTGCAAGTATCGCAAGGTCGGGTTGGCTTTTAGCATAATTTATCAGATATAAATAGACAAGCTTCTTGAGCTCCAAATTCTCTGTTTGCATGCAATTCACAACATCTGTGAATAGTGATGAAACATCCTTCCCAACAGTCATAGCAGCAATCACCTTTTTAACTGCATCTTTTCTTTTATCCTGCATGAGAAAAGCAAAGGAGGTATGCTAATGAAATGTTATTCTGAATTGTTACAGTAAAATAAAGCTACCCCAAAATTAACACATTATCCAGTCAAAAGTCTTGAAAACATTATTCCGAGTGAGTATGACATTTCTGCACAAAAAAAACATCCTACTCATGCCCGCATTATATGTTCAAATCATTGTTGTCAAATTGCGAATTGAATCGTGAACCGTAAGATTCACTTTATTTAGCATAATATATAATTTTATTTTTGTATATGCATATCAAAATACATAGTATTTAAAATGAAATAAATATCAATATAAATCAATTCATGTCATTTTTTATCTTGTGAAAATAGCATCGTATCATGCATTATGCAATCGTAATCACAATGAATCGTAGTAAATCACAATTGAATAATACGATTCACTCAATTTAAGATTCAAAAGCATGAATCAAATCATTTTGGTTATATTATACGGACTCGGGTACGGGTACGGGTACGGATATGGGTACGGGCACGGGGATCGGGTGTTGGTATGTGTCGGATTCATCAAACTATAAATTTAAGGGTACCCGTACTCGGCAAAAAAAATCTTATTTTTATATTTTTAATGAAATATGTGAGATAAAACAGTACTATATACAACTTATAGTGTCAAAAAGGCATTTATAACAATTATACAACAATATGTACATATAATAATGGGGTTATATATAATTATATAAGAAGTGTCCGTTAAAACGTATCCGACACATATGCCATACCCTTGTCCGAGTGTCAAATGTCCAACAGAGGTATTTGATTTATTTTGAAGAGCTCATGTAACATAAGTTGAAACTCATATCGAATGATATGTATGAATAGAATCGTTAATCGCAAATTCTAACGACTGCGGTTCAAATGAACAACTTTGTAAAGTAAAACAAGTGCAAATTTTGAACCAAAAAGAACAAAAAAAACATCTCCCCTAACCAGATAGGATACAAATCAAGCCACCAATGCAGAAGTGAAGAAAATTGTCAAATTATTATAGTGTTCCATGTAAAATAATCCAAACCCTAACACACATAAATCAAATAATAAAACTATAAATTAGGATCATTCATTATCAATAATTTTACAAAACGCATTAAATCAATCTTATGCTCAATAGCACCGATGAAAAAGAAAAAAGAAAAAAGAAAAAAGAAAATATATTGAAGTTAAATTTTCTCGAGTCCGACCTACAAAATAAATCATTCCTCAAAAGCTATGAATCCGAAAATCGTATAGATGTGAGACGCAATTCCATGAAAGTTCGCGACAATCTCAACCACAAGTCAAATTGAAAAACGCGATAGATCTGATGATAAGTCTAATCAATCGGTGGTAAAAACACAACATCAGTGAAATCAAGAGCGAAGTCGAAGCAGATCAAGGAAATATCCAGAAAATGACATGAATTCAGCTCGAAGATAGCAAATCAATTGATGCATAGATATAGAAACATACATACGCACAGAAAGAGAGAGAGAGAGGGACCTTGTACTGAGAATTGAGTTCTTCTTTGAGCTCAGGGATTTCGCCTTTCTTGGTGGTGGAGAAGTACTTGGAGTCGTGACCGCTCATCTCTGAAGCTTTTTTGGCTTCTCTCTTCGGGTCTCGAGACGACTCAGACGAGGGAGAGAGAGAGAATGAGGAAGCTGACTATTGCCGATGCGAGAGCGAGAGAGACTGGGAATGGAATGTTATTTCAATAGTGGCACAAGGCCGAGCGAATTAGACGATTAGTAAAATATTTGCCTAATTCGTTAAAATTTTATTGATTTCTATTGATTCACCGTTTTATTTATTAATTATGAATTAAATTTAAAATTTTATAATATATAATTTGCCTTCGAAATTATTCTGTTATTTTATAATTAACATATATATATATATATATTTTAAATTTTAATAAAATATCAAAATAAAAATAAATGTTAAAAAAATTTAAGATGTGAAATTTATTACAAATTAATAATTTTATATTTGAAACATATTATGTAAAACTAATTTGTGTTATATATATGAAAAATATTATGTAAATTAGTATTATATACTATGCAAATTCTTGATAATTGATTAAAATATTTTTCAATCTGTCAATCCGCTTAAAACTGTTTAAATCGCAATTCGATTTATAATTTTATTTTCAAACTGTTCACATTATACCGTGCACATTCCTAAATACGAGTGCGGCCCTTTAATTGAACCGATAAGCAAACCACTATCCGGTTTTGCTTGACCCAAAAAAAATGATAAATATTAATAATTAAAATTATAATTCTTATTATGAATATATAATAATTTTTTAAAATTATTTTTGAATGATAATTTTCCCTTAATTTTTTAGTGATTTTTTAGCGAAATACTTAGGTGTTTGGAAAGAACTAAAAAAGTATATTTTTTTTTACATACATACACTTATTTGGGTCACATCAATTAATATATTCTTTTTATTTTTTTAACTACTTTCTCTACTTTCTTATATATTTTTTTTAATAAAAAGTCAAAAAGTATACTTAGGCCTCGTTTGGAAACATGCTAATTTAGTAACTTTTTTGCTATTTGGCTAAAATATGAGCTAAAAAAAACTAGTATGTTTGGGATAACTTTTTGACTATTTACAAAAAAATGTGCAAAAAGTAGAGAGAAAAAAGAATCTTTAACTTTTTAGTATGAGTTGTTGGTTTTTTGACTAATTTAATAACTTTTTGACTTTTTAACTAAAATGAAAAGTTCTCAAATAAGGCAACATTCTAAACCACTCCTAAATGACCGTTAAGATGAACCTAAGGATTGAAGCCCAGCAATTGACTCGGCCTAAGAACTCAACAGAAAAAAATACAACGAAATAGAAAAGCATGAAGAAAAAAAAAGAACAAAAACACTAGATACCCTAAATAAATTAATAGAATATTTGACAATTTATTTGGCTGTCTAAAAAAGGAAAAAACAAAAAACTCAAGATAGGCATGAAATGAATATCAGTCCGTTGGGTGAAGGCAGTGGGCCAAGTTGTTGGGCCCAGAAAACGAACCCCACCCGTTTGCCTATAGAGCATAAGGTTTGGGGCTAAGGGTTTGACCCACCACAAGCCGATTTGTAAAGCCCGATGGGCTTAACTCGGTGAACTTGGACACCAGGTTCATGGGTTACCTTACCCTTATTTTAATGGAATCCAATTAACCCTGTAAATTGTAATGGAAGGTGATAAAATTCGACATACCAAGAAGCTTAAATCATACGCTAAGGTTCTTCAATTTCCCTAATTTTTTCTGTTTTGATTTTGGTTTTTTATTGTTTTGTGAAGTAAAATTATTATTATTTTATGAAATAAAATTATTATTTTTATCGCTTTGTTGGGCTCTTTTTTTCCTTAGTTGTAGAAGATAATGAACTCCTATTTTGCCGAAGAATTTGATGAGGTTGATAGGACTTTAGTCTGAATAACTTTTTCCGCCTTTTAAATATGAAAAACATTTTACGCCTATATAGACTTATTTTCTGTATACCATAAAAAAAAATATTTCCTGTTCATTTTCATTTTTCATTATAGTAAACATAAAAAGAAATACATAAAATATTTTTCACCCAGACAAATCGTGCTTTAGAGGTTTGTTTTTTCTATTCTTTACAGTTTGTTTTACATATTTTACTGTGTTGGTTTTGTTTTGGTTCAACACACTTTTTTTAATTTTATTTCTTTCTTTCAAATCTGTTTCATATTGCTAACAAACAATGTTTTTTACTTGTATATGAACACTTTTAAAGAAAAATCAACACCAAAAAGTAGTTTAGTTAGTGTTCTATGTTTTATGGTAGTTTGAGAATGAAGTTTGTCCTTACTCTATTTATTTAACTTTGAATTAAAGTTATGCAAACTTGTAGGTTATTTTGCAATTTTATGTTTGCATAGATTTTTGAACATTACGCACTTGAATATGATGCTTGACCTGAAGAACATGCTTCAATGAATACAAACCTGACTCCTCATTCATTGTACACGGCAGTATAAAAAAGATGATTGATTTCATTCATGCTTCAATTGCCAATTAAGGTGAAGTGAAGCCTGTACTTAAGAAGAACGGGTACTTTTCGGACTCAAGATGATTATACTTGGTTTATTTTTTGGCTGCGCCTATTGGACGGGAACCTTTGATTGCTAATGCCTGATATATGGGTATTTGCAGGTATTGAAGAGATTACTCGAGGATGAATGTGATCAATGCAATTAAGTTTGGTAGTTTGGTCTCTTCATTTTAATCTTGGGACTGCACTGTAATTGTCCTATTCTTCCTGTATGATTTCAGCAGTGGTTCAAATGTTTAGAATTGTTTATATATGATGTTAACTAAAGGGAATGATTTGTTATGCTTTTTCAGTGAAGAGTTACTACGAGAAGATATTGTGAATGTCTATGTTCTGCCTGCATGACTCTTGGGATGATGTAGATTGATGTACCATTACCGTCTAGGTGAATGGTACTATCTCTTTATGCATACACGGACCCACACCCCTTAGGCTGTAGCTAAATTTTTTATACGGTTCTTGTTTAGGAGGTGCATCATGGAAGTGATGGAGTTATAATCAGCAAATCAATGGGTGAAATTGAAAATGGGCACAATGAATTGTTGAAGCGGTATTGGCAGCAGTTGGAACTATTATATTGGTTATTTTGATTGATGAAAGAGCATCTTGTGGATGCATTAGATAAAATCCAATCACAGAAGGTATTGCTTTCTCAATTTTGTTTCTATCCTTTCTATCATCCAGCTAAACCCTCTATACATAAGATTCATGCTAGAACCATTTCAACAAGCAGTTCTGAGGTTGAGGTTGATGATTAAAACAGTCGATGTGCAATTTCTATGTCAATATTAGTTCTTAATTTATTAATTTCTAGGTCAATACTAGTTCTATGTCAATATTAGCTTCATTTTGTCTGCGAAATTTCTCTGTCAATACTAGTTCTTAATTTATTAGTTTATGAGCTTTAGTTGGAATTTGATAAGAGTGATTTAGTTGGAATTGAGCAACCCCTGCATTAGTGAAGGCCAGGTGACCATTATTTGCTTTCCATAGCTTTCAAGCATTAGATTTGTTGGGATCGGGGATCCCGCCCAAGACCTTCCAGAAATTATACCAAGTAGAAAAACACACCCACACAGAAGGAGAAACCATATTTAACGTGGTTCGGCCTTAAAGCCTACGTCCACGGGAGAGTAACCGGTTATCACTATAACAATGGAGAGATTACAGAAAGATTATAATAGGGGAGGAGCTCACATTCTCCTCACTCACCCACTCACCCGTCTCCCTCTCTCACACCGAGAGAGACGGTCTCTCCACCTCACATCTCTCACTCTCTTCTCTCTTGGTTCTCTCTACTTGTCTACTCTCCTCTCAACCTCTATTTATACATATCATGAGGGAAGGTAGCTGGACAGCAATGGTGAGTGGATTGGTTAGTGGGGAGGTGCCACTCCCACTCTCTCTAAAGTGGTCTCCAACCACCCCACTCTCTCGAAGGTGGGTTAGCCACTCACATGGGATGATAATAACATAGCCAACAAGATTCACATTAATTTCAATCATATATGTGTATCTATCTATGCCGAACTGTGGAACTCTTTATTTTCCTAATGAATTCAAGGGAAAAGTTGAATTGCTCACTAACAGTGTGTGCGCATGACATCTTTTCTTTCTATGATTGTCAATGCAAGCATGTGCTTTTGTGTGAAACCAGTAGAAAATTTTTCTTTTTCTTTCTATTTTTTATATGTATGATGTATGAACATGCTGAAAATGTAATGCAGCAATGCCTGCCGAATGCTTTAATTATCCCATGCTGGAGGAGTATGACTTCAGAAATATTACTGTTGAGTTATTTCTTAAATTTTTCTTTTGATTTTAGGAATGTTCCTATGTTTATGGGTGATCTTCAATTCAATTGAAGAAGTCATCATGCCATTTCACATGATTATCTCACAACCTTTCTGCTGTATTGGTTTGAGAACATTTTTGACACCGAGGTCAATCCTGACCTAAACGCGACCTCGGCCTTATCAGGAAAAGAGCCTTAGCAAGGATGTTTGCAGATGTCACGACCAATAAGTGCTTGTACTTCATTGCGCTGTAACGAAGTATCCCGGATTTCTCTGGTACAGTTTGTTTTGGAGTGTCATGAAACAAGCCTCTTCAGCAAGAATAGTTAAAATGGGAATGTTGAGATTGTTAAAGTGGTTTATGTATATTGAAATGTAAAAAAGAAACAAATGCATTTGAGAAAGACAAGAAAGTAGCAGCAATTTATGACAATTTAGTATAGATAGACCAGTGAGTGCATTTGTCATGATGGTAGTAAGCACAAGAGGTGGGATGATCATGATGCTGAAACCACAATTGTGATGCACTGTTTCCCAATTGACAATTCCAACATCTACTTTTTGTTCTTTTGTTTATTTTATTTCTCAAACTCCTAAGAGTCTTTCTTGTACTAATTCATAATATTTTCTTGAAGTGGTGTCATGTTGTCAATATGAGTGAAATGATTAAAGAGATGGTTGTGATGGAGGAAAATTTCCAGAATTGTCTATCCAACTTGGTCCCTAGTCTAGGCAAATATAGGTGTGGACATAGGATTAATTTTCTAAGTCCAGCTCGACCTGTCATCATTCTTAAACTTTATTTTCAAAAAATACAGTAATTTTTTT